TGATGGACCAATGGTTGTTCATTGCAGGTATGAATACTGGTCTAGATGAAAATAGTAGATATGGTTCACTTATATATTCATTTATACATGTCTTTCTTTTCTTCTCAGTTCTGGTACTGGTCGTACTGGTACATTCATTGCTATTATGGTTGAGATGGCTCGCATCAAGTCAGAGAAATTGGTTGATATCTTCAATAATGTGCAGTACATGAGGAAGTGTCGTCCTATGATGGTTATGAATGAAGTAAGCATAAAGAGCAACTAATTATTTAAAGGAAAGATTACTTTGTGGTTGCAAAAATTTATAAGAGGTTTAATTATTCTATCTTCTTGTCCTCTCTCTTGATGCAGAATGAATATATGTTTATTCATGATGCTCTTGCTGAGGCTTTGAAACTTGGAAAGATTGAGGGAGTTGCTTTTGCTGGGCCCAAGTCTCTCGAAGAGACAAGCAGTGAAAGAAAGTCTGAAGGATCTTTTGATAAAAAGAATCCTGCTGATGAGGAGACAAAGCTTTAGAACTGCTTTAATATATATGAGCCTCATTTTTTATTTTTATTGCTAATTTTGTCTTGTTTTTAATATTTACATAATTAGTTAGACTATATTTATGTTTAATTGAAATGACTGATATGCATAGAAGTCATTTTATGAACTGTTTTGCTAGGCATTTTGAAGATAATTTTTTTAAAGAGTGGTGTCATTAATAAAGTGGCTACATAGTCTCACTAGCCAGACCATTCTCTACCTTACAGTTGTTTGGGTTATTGTCACTTGTCAGAACAAAAGAATGGAAATTGTAAAACATTAATGCTGGGGCTCGCCCTTTAACACGCACTCATTAAAATCAGATTACTTAACTTTAATAATAGTTAGCAACCCTATGGTTGGTCCGTACAAATGCACTTCATCACTAAGGGCTTTGCCCAATTATGCAGTATACCAGATTCATTCCAGTTGTCCACCCAAATGACCTTGGATTGGGGAATTGGTCTGTAATGGTGTAGCCAGCTGGTGTGGCGCACATCATGGCTTATTTCCTTAGACCTGTGTGTTTATAGCTTTCTTTTCTTTAGCCATTTAACTGTGCATTGATAAATTTAGGATGGGCCCTTTTGCCCACTCAGCCTCCCCCTCACTGCTACGTGTATCAAGGACAGGTAATGTGAGCCCAATTATAAAGAAGCTACACAATACTAATATGATTATATAAGACCAAAGAATGAGAGAAATGTCAACAGGACATGAAATTGTTAATTAGCTACTCACGTACACGTCGGTCGTAGCTTGTGTTTTTGAATGGGTTTAGCGTGTTTGCACTTTTACTGTATGCAGGTGTGTCTCAGTAGTGAGAATAAGAAATAGATCTTGTTAGTCTAAAATGCTTTTAACTTTCTGAAATATGTCTGTGTGGGCATGCACATGCATTTTATATTTATAGTAACCCACATGTACGTGTACATATACATGTTGCATTTTTGGAAGTTTCGGGTGACATTGATTTGCCTCAAATCCATGTTAATTGTGCTTTAATGCAGTATACTAATAGTGATTAGTAAAATTAGTAAAACCAAATCCCTAATAGATCTACGCATAATTGTAACTACACACACATACAGACATGTACAGTACACAAACATACATACTGTTAAATTCAATCAATCTGTACCATCAGCTACTTCTGTACATTCAATCAATCCTTACATGATACCCAGTGACATCATAGTAGAGAGTCTTCAAAGCCCATCATCTGGCATGGCATGAACCAGATCCTCCGCCTTAATTTTATCCTTTTTTGCTTCATTAATTATTAATTTTAGACTATTACCTCTAATCACATTGGTTTATTGTTTAATAATTAAATTATTATTTTATCACATGGTAGAGTGATTGTACTTCAATGGAGGGAGTGAAAAGAGGTATGCTGTCTTAAAGAACAGTTCACTAATCACTCAGTTTCATCCTATGTTGTTTTGTGTAGGTGTTTCAATATTAAATAATAGAATTATACAGACACATGTGAGGCAGCAGTGTCCTGGTAAGTCTAATTATAGCAGCTTTGAGCTTCCTTATAAGGAAGATAGATCTATTTAGATAGTGCAATGTTTTTTTAGATTATGATCATTCATGTCTATTCTCTAATGAATCTTTAAAGGACTAGTGAAATATTCCAAAGGATAATCAGTACTCAGGTTTGATAATGGGAAAGAGAATAGAAGAAAAGAGTACTTGTATGTTCAAGGCGTGATATAGGGATGAAAGCGGATGGTTTGTATAATATATATTAGATGTAGAAATGAGAAAGTACAGTAGATGCATACTGTACAATAAAAAAGAGAAAACTTTTCATTTTTATAATTTTTTCTGATAGATCTACATGTAGATGTACTTATGTCATTTTGATGCAAAAGATTTATAACCAACTTATATCTCCACTTAAAACCCACATAAAACACACTGGATGAAGCCAATGCTCTCAGTGAGTTGAGTGCATGCTTTTGATGTTATTCTTCTTGTTCGTGTACGTGCATAGAAGCCTCTCATGATAATTTGTTTAAGGCTGAATATTTCTTTGCTGCTATTTGGTCAGTATGTAGTGTTGAGTGTAATAGGATATTTGTCATTGGAGAGTAGTTTTTTATCTTTCCATGTCATCTCTCTCACTCTTTTATATTATTGTAGCATAATTGGTCTTTTGTTGTGTTATTATGGGAAATTATTAACCAGTTAGATGCTTTCTATTTGTCTGAAGTGGAGTTTCTATATAATGGGCACTTTGGGGCAAAGTTTGCCCGTATATATGTAGCATGTTAATGTACAGACAGTTAGGTACCTATACTTAATTGTTGTTCATTGCATTCAACTTAGACATGGCATGCATGTTGTTGCAATGGTTCATTGCACACTTCTGCTCTAACCAATATAAGCCTTGCAACCAGAAGTGTTATATAAATCAATGGTATGCGAGTCAATAACACAAGAGTTAAACTTTGGTCAACTCATGCATTAACTTGCAGCATTTGTATAGCACTTCTAGTGCACTTCCTGTCACAACACATGATGTTGTGTGCTAAGCCTCAGACTAACATTTGATGCTGCATAGTCTGCTTATTATCTACCAGCATTTGTCAGTCATCAGTTTGTTATTTAAACCCTAGCAAACCACTGCTCTTGACAGTCTAGGTTATTAGGCACTGAATCATAGGAGAGAGAAATCATGTTGAAGGGACTGCTATCTATTGCTGTCACTGTCCTTGTTACTTTGACTTACAATGAAGTTAAGTCAGCAATTTCTAGTAAGCTCTGGAATAATCATTTTATGAAACTTATGCTTTAGAAAATTGTGTTTCATTTAACTTTTATGTAAATACTGTATATTGAATGCTGTTTGTAATAATATGCATGAATTTTTTGAGTTTGTAATCTAGCAAAATTAAAGTCCTAGTAAAGAAATAGCCAGTAGAAAGATGTACTTTTGACTGTAGTTAGTGCGTATCAGTTAATGTTGCCAGCAAGAGGGAGTGCATTGGCACCCATTTGATAAGAGGACCCTATTAATTAAGCCAATCTGTCAATAGAATAATATAATGTGTCTGTTATACTAGTGTCAGTACCCTACACTTATGCACTCACATCTAATTGCTGATGCTATGGAGACAGTCACCCTTTTTGCCAGCCTTTGATTTTTCTTTCAACCTTAACTGTTGAAAGGAATACAAATGTTTTCCAAATAGCTATGCACTTATCATTGGGAGCCTGACTGAAATCAATGCAAACTTTTTTTTTGAAATGCAAAATAAAATACATGCATAGCTACTGCATTAAAGGAAAAGCAGTTTTTAAGAATTAAGAACTTTGTAGAGCTGCCACTGATAAGAAGAGGCTGATAGCGAACTTTAGATCATCTTTGTAAAGTTTAAGGATGCAGGAGCAGAATTCTAATTGACTATAAATCATGAATCATTTAGTTGTGACTAATCCATAATACTGACTATATACATGTCTCAGTTTACATTGTTGTCCATACATGTTATGGTATTTTCCACCCAAATAGCTCAAATAGCACTATATAGGTGTGCCTTATTGCATTTATCAAAGTGGCTTCTGTAAGACATACAATACTGCCTTTGATCTTGTAAAACATTCCAGTGGTAATTTTATGTTGTTGCTAAGGCTTTCAAAGAATTTGGAATTTTAAGAATGCTGTCTTAATATTACAACTGAGCTAGTGCTTCATTTCTCACTAGCATCACCTGAGGGATTCTCAGCCATTAGTCCTGTCAATAATATAACATTGGACAGAGGAGATGATATCACACTATATCTAGTTTGTGATACAACTGCATGAGATCCTCTGAGAAGTTCTCACCTGAGCCAAAAGGCACATTAACTATACACATCTCTATTTCTATTCTAATTGATATTTTTTCACTATATAACATGCACAATTGTTTTATTCTGATAGCAAATCCTCCATTCAATGTCATGGTCTCAGTCAGTAGTACCACAGTTAGTTTTGGTGACAATGTAACCTTTACATGTTCTGCTGAAGGAGGATCAGAAAATAATTTTACTTGGACACATAATAATATGGTTCAAATCAGTGATGGAGGACGATTCATGATAGAATCAACTTCTTCCAATAGTACACTTACTGTTACTGATGTAATTGTAACAGATTTTGGTACATATATTTGTCAAGTATCAAATCTTGCTGGAAGTGATTCTGCTAACTTAACAATTACAAGTATGCATTTATTTATTAAAATTTCTACAATTATAATATCCTTCATTTCTCACTAGCATCACCTGAGGGATTTTCAACCATTAGTCCTGTCAATAATATAACATTGGACAGAGGAAATGATATTACACTGGAGTGTAATACAACAACGCCTGGTCCTCCTAGTAATAATAAGTATAATTGGTTTCATAATGCAACACAGAGTGTTTGCTGCCCATTTGGACAAGATGCTAACATCACTGGTAAGTTTCAAAATATTGGCATTTTTCAAATTATAGTTTTCGTGCTTTTGTAGAATTACTACAGCAAAACACTGTTTCACGTGTTGGTATGAGCTCTGATCTTGAGCTTACTTCAGTCAATGCTTCTCATGGTGGTACATATGAGTGTATAATATCCAATGATGCTGGAAGTGAAGCACTCAGTACTAGTGTCTTCATAAGACCATACTTTGTTGAGCAGCCACCTGACAATGTGTACACTGAAGTTGATGGGAATGTGACTCTGTACTGTAATGCTGAGTCTTATCCTTATCCAAGTTTTCAATGGGAGAAGAGGAATGATGCTGGAGTATTTGTATCAATATCAGGAGAGACTAGTAGATATCTCATGTTTAGTTCAGTCACTACTGATGTCATTGGAGAGTATCGCTGTATAGTTACTGTGGATGAGCTGGACTCCTCCATCACATCCAATGTCACTGCTGTACATGGTACATTAGTTTGTTAAAGATCATCTACACTTATTAATCAATTTATCATTTTAATTTTTTCATTATAGTATCGCCTCAGAATTTAGTGACTGTCGAACCTTCAATGATAATTTCTGAGCCTTCTTCAGATGTTACTTTCACATGCAACACTACAGCAGGGCCTAACAGTAAATTTGTATGGCTGTATAATGCCACTAGTGTAATCTGTGATGATTGTATAGAAACATTTGAGGACTTTTTATCCCGTAAGTATCAATTGAAACTATTAATAGAAAGCCTGAGGCTAATAGCTTGTCCATAAGGAGAGAAAGCATGTATGATTTTTTGGTTTCTTGTTTTCAGGTGTTGGTAACTTGACTAATATGACATTAGTTGGTATTGGTCCTGTCCTTACTCTTCGTAACATTGATTCATCAGTTGGTGGTACTTATCATTGTGCTGTTATCAATGAGGCTGGGTTTGATATTGAAACTGCTAGTCTCTACATTACTCCAACTATTGTCACTCATCCAATGAGTGTTGTTACTCCTACTAGGATCCCTAATATTGTTCTATCATGTATGGCTAATTCTTTTCCTGACCCTGAGTATCGCTGGGAGAAAAGCAGCACTAATGAAGGACCATATACTAAAATAGCTAATAGTGAAGGCTCTACTTATGCTTTGGGTACCATTTTCCATTCTACTAATGGATACTATCGTTGTATTGCATATACTAGTGTATCTAATATCATCAATGAGACTGCTTCTAATCCAGCTGTTGTTACTGGTAAGATATAGTATAGTACCTTAACTACCTTTATAATTTTTCTACATTATATATAACTGCTATTTGTTTGTATAACATACATACTTTTCTTGTTTTATTCTGATAGTGGACATAGGCAGAGTTATAATTTCAGTCAGTAGTACCACAGTCAGTGGTGGTGACAATGTAACCTTTACATGCTCTGCTGAAGGAGGACCAGACAATATTTTTACTTGGACACATAGTATCATGGGTCAAATCAGTGATGGAGGACGATTCATAATAGAATCAACTTTTTTCAGTAGACTTACTGTTACTGATGTAATTGGAGCAGATTTTGGTACATATACTTGTATGGTAATGAATCTTGCTGGAAGTGGTAATGCTATTACAGAGCCAATTACAAGTATGCATTCTACTATTAAAGACTCTATAATTATAATTTCCTTCATTTCTTACTAGCATCACCTGAGGGATTCTCAGCCATTAGTCCTGTCAATAATATAACATTGGACAGAGGAAATGATATTACACTTAATTGTACTACAACTGCTGGTCCTATTAATAAGTATAGCTGGTTTCATAATGCAACACAGAGTGTTTGCTGCCCATTTGGACAAGACGCTAATATCACAGGTAAGTTTTGAAATATTGATATCTTTTAAAATATAGTTGTGTGCTTTTGTAGAATTAGTAGAGCAGAGAACTGTTTCACGTGTTGGTATGAACTCTGATCTTGAGCTTACTTCAGTCAATGCTTCTCATGGTGGTATATATGAGTGTATACTATCCAATGATGCTGGAAGTGAAGCACTCAGTACTAGTGTCTTCATAAGACCATACTTTGCTGAGCAGCCACCTGACAATGTGTACACTGAAGTTGATGGAAATGTGACTCTGGACTGTAATGCTGAATCTTATCCTTATCCAAGTTTCCAATGGGAGAAGAAGAATGATGCTGGAGTATTTGCATTAATATCAGGAGAGACTGGTAGATATCTCATGTTTAGTTCAGTCACTACTGATGTCATTGGAGAGTATCGCTGTATAGTTACTGTGGATGAGCTGGACTCCTCCATCACATCCAATATCACTGCTGTTCATGGTATACATTAGCTTGTTGATAATTTTAGATAGCCACTTATTAATCAAATTTCAATTTTACAAATCTATTTCTTTTTTT